AAAGGGCTATTAAGGAGAAGAAAGAATGCTATAGACACTTGTACCATGATAGGAGTGTGGACAACATAGAGAAGTACAAGGTGGCAAAAAAGACTGCAAAGCGAGCTGTAAGTGTGGCAAAGGGTAGAGCGTACGAGGATCTTTACCAACATTTGAGTACGAAGGAAGGAGAGAAGGACATTTATAGGATGGCTAGGGTTCGTGAGAGAAAGATATGGGACTTCAACCAAGTTAAGTGCATTAAGGATGAAAGGGAGCATCTCTTGGTAAAGGAGGATGAGATCCGACATCGATGGCAAGAGTATTTTGATAAATTGTTCGATGGTGAGAATATGGACACAACCTTTCAGTTGGATGACTCTTTTGATGACACCAATAGGCGCTTTGTGCGGAGAATCCAAGAATCTGAGGTCAGAAAAGCGTTGAAAAGGATGAAAGGAGGTAAGGCGATGGGACCAGATGGTATCCCAATCGAGGTGTGGAGATGCCTCGGGGACATAGCTATAGTATGGCTAACCAAGCTGTTCAACCATATTTTTCGATCGAACAAGATGCCTGATGAGTGGAGGAGAAGTATATTGGTACCGATCTACAAGAATAAAGGGGATATTCAAAGTTGTACTAATTATCGGGGAATTAAGTTGATGAGCCATACTATGAAGCTATGGGAGAGAGTTATCGAGCATCGCTTGAGAGCAATAACGCGGGTCTCTGTGAACCAATTTGGTTTCATGCCCGGAAGGTCAACCATGGAAGCCATTTTCTTAATAAGACAAGTTATGGAGCGGTATAGGGAGAAGAAGAAGGACATACACATGGTTTTTATTGACTTGGAGAAGGCTTATGATAAAATATCAAGGAATGTTATGTGGTGGGCTTTGGACAAACATAAAGTCCCAACGAAGTACGTCGGACTCATTAAGGACATGTACAACAATGTTGTGACTAGAGTTCGAACAAGTGATGGAGACACGGATGACTTCCCGATTAGGATAGGACTACATCAAGGGTCAGCTTTGAGCCCTTATTTGTTTGCTTTAGTGATGGATGAGGTCACAAGGGACATACAAGAGGACATCCCTTGGTGTATGCTTTTCGCGGACGATGTAGTGCTAGTTGATGAAAGCCGGACAGGAGTGAATCAGAAACTGGAGTTATGGCGGGAGACTTTGGAATCCAAAGGTTTTAGACTCAGCAGAACTAAAACTGAGTATATGAGATGTGACTTCGGCACTACTACTCAGGAGGAGGAAGATGTTAGTTTGGAAGGTCAAGTAGTGCCTAGGAAGGATATCTTTCGATATTTAGGATCAATGCTACAGAGGGACGGGGACATTGATGAAGATGTTAGCCATAGAATCAAAGCAGGGTGGATGAAGTGGCGGCAAGCGTCTGGTGTCCTATGTGACAAAAGGGTACCACAGAAGCTAAAAGGCAAGTTTTATAGGACAGCGATTAGACCTGCTATGTTGTATGGTGCAGAATGTTGGCCTACGAAAAGACGACATGTTCAACAGCTAAGTGTCGCGGAAATGCGTATGTTGCGTTGGATTTGCGGTCATACAAGAAGGGATCGAGTTCGGAACGATGATATACGTGATAGATTAGGGGTAGCGCCAATTGAAGAAAAGCTTGTCCAACACCGGTTGAGATGGTTTGGACATGTGCAACGGAGACCCCTAGAGGCACTGGTGCGTAGTGGCATCCTAAGCCAGGATAGTAACGTGAAGAGAGGCAGAGGAAGACCGAAGTTGACTTGGGTAGAGGCAATAAAAGGAGACTTGAAAGGATGGAATATACCCAAAGACTTAGCCTTAGATAGGAGTGCTTGGAAGACAGCTATTCACGTGCCTGAACCTTGATTGTTTCTTATGGGTTTCAACTCTAGCCTACCCCAACTTGTTTGGGACTTAAAGGCTTTGTTGTTGTTGTACTTTATTTACCAGGGGTCAGTTTTTTTTCAAAAAAAAAAAAACCACTCAAGTATCATCTCAATGTTAAGCTATTTTGATGTCTGAAAAAGGATTGATCATCCTTATGGAAATAAGCTACCCTTTAAGTTTTGCAAATGCAGGCACTTCGTTCCTAATCTGACTATTGGGGCTCCGGTGATCCAGAGCTTGAGGAAACATACCAAGTATGGTCTTTTGATCCTTTGCTTATATGGATGACTTCTTATTCTTCACAGTCCCAGTGGTTCTAACCGTTGGTTTTTAGAGCATATTTGGACTGCCATCTTATGGTCACAAACCCTTCAGATTACGTAGAACCATTTGGAAAGGCTGGCGCTTCTGGATTCACATTCCATATAGAAGTTGCTAGAGGTGAACACACATCTGTTGAATGGCCTAGTATTTTCACTTCTCCTCTTCTTATGGAAAAACTTGATGCAGACAACTGGCAAGATCTCATCCAAAGCATTAAATCAAAGGGTATGCGGCCTGGTGTATCATTGAGGCCAGGTACTCCAGTGGAGGAAGTTTTTCCCCTGGTAACTTCAAGCACTCACTACACCTTGTGAACTTATCTATACACAGACAAGAAACCTTTCATACTAGGTCTGAGTAATGGTGTTTTATTTTCACACGCTCTTAAAAACTCTTGAAATTTGTTGGTGTTTGTTGATATATGTACTTACAATTCTAGCGATTATTGAACGCGATGGCAGGAGGTTTGCCTTTCAATTAAGTAGGGGAGCAAAAGAGTTTATGTACAAGCAAAGAAAACAATTCTAGCGATTATGTCTTTGTTAACTGCTAAACTCTTTTGATCAAGTGACCATTTTGCACAAATACCTCTTATTTCTCTTGTTCAGATGTTCATTTATTATGACCACAATACATTTGATCACGAGAGTAACTGTACTATGCAGCACATTCTTAATTCCACATTAAAGATCACTCTTTTGATCAAGTGTGCTGCTTAGACCTGTTTCCATAGAACCTTTCTACCATCGACCATCGTCGATCTATAACTTTCAGAACCCTTTTCAGTTGTATTTCCTTTTCTCTGAATGCATGACATATGGACATTTCTTGCTATGGATTGTGAAGCTACCTACAGTTGTATTAACAATTAATTTTACAGGTGGAAGCAGAAAATCCAGTAGAATTGGTTCTTGTGATGACAGTTGAGCCTGGTTTTGGTGGTCAGAAATTTATGCCAGAAATGATGGATAAGGTTTGTTCTCATTGTTCATTATTGTATATTTCTGATGTTGAGCAGTTATGTTCACTTTCTGCAATCTGTGTGAATTAGGTGCGCACACTGAGAAAGAAGTACCCTTCCCTTGACATAGAGGTATAATATCATCCATGTCTAAGCATTGTTCTTTATCTCGTAGGAATTTCTTTTTTTTTCTCCGTCATTAATTTCAATTGGCTGAAAATACTTTATGATTTGTTATATCAGGTTGATGGTGGTCTAGGTCCTTCAACCATAGATGTGGCCGCAGCTGCTGGGGCCAACTGCATCGTCGCTGGAAGCTCTATATTTGGCGCTGCGGACCCAGGAGCCGTCATATCTGTGCTGAGGAAGAGCGTTGAGGGCTCTCAGAACAAAAACTGATTTTGGTGTTTCTGCTGTAAAGACCCTGCACGTCATATGAGCTGATCCTCACATTGCTCCCAAACTGTTAAGCGAGAATAAAATTTGATGTTGGCCTTGACGCCACTATCATGTAACCCACACATTTCTTTTTCGAAGAACACGTAAAGCTGAACGTCTTTTGCAATACGCTTTTTGTCTGCCCTGATTATCTTCTTGTACCCCTTCATATGACGCTTCCTGTGCCGTCCAGAAATGGCGAAACATTGTCATGGCTGTTAACAAGCAAGTAAATACGGGTATAAGAATCGTGCTCATGCCTATATACTTGTGGATATGTCGTCATTATGCATTTTCTCGTTATAGACCATTTGAGTTGAGCCCTCCATAACTAGCAAACACGAGGATACAATTTAGCACACACACACCTCGTTCAGAGCATTGGGAACCATTTTTAGTTTACTAGGACGTCGATAGGGCACCTACCATCTGACTAGTTCGCTTGACCTGTATATTGGTCCCGTTCGCTGGTCTGAAACTTGACTGAAATTGGTTGAAAATACTGTTCCGGTTGAATTGTTGTGAGAGAGAAACACTGTTCCAGCTAAAAAAAAAACCCGAACAAGCCGAATATGGAGTAAACCGAACAGGGCCATGACTTTATTCTGCTGTACTACTTCAAAAAGTGTTTTTTTCTCGGTCTATATTATAGTACAATTCTGGACAAATCCTACATAATCGATAATCGGTCACTCTGAACCACTGATGGCTGTTGATAGTGATATCGATACATTCGCACTCGATGGTGGTCGGTGCATGATGACAATGCTCGTCCACCCGGTCTGCATACACATGTGAATCGCCAAGCGCATAGCTCTGCAGACAGGCGAAGCGAACCAAAGCATCCGATCTGCCGGTCTGCCACTCTGCCCCTGTTCCGTATGCGGTGTGCGCCCTACGCTTCTCATTCCCCCTCACCCCAGCCTTCATCCATATGGATGGGACCTGAGACTCAATAATCATGACCTAAAATACAAAACATATTCATTCTTAGTAACACTACAGGCAAATAGTTTAATATCTATTTTTATCTTTTTCAATAACAAGACTTAAAAGACACTTCTTTCTATGAATAGATCTCTAGAGAAATGATACTCAGATTTAAATTATGTCTCTCGTGATATTTAAGATAGGTCTTCCATATAGGTCTTGTCTGAAGGCTATAGGACTCATTTTGGATTTAAGCGGAATACGTCTCGTGGAGACAGCCTGACCATCTCATCAACGTGCGCCGCTCGGCCGCTGCTTCCATCCGCACCGAGGGACCCCACTGTCAGTTGTCACGCAGACACGCACTCACGCTCACCGGCCGCGCACACAAGTGACACGCTCGCCTCCCACCAGAAACCTGCGAATCAATCCCGAACCCCGATCGGCCGGCGGCGCGGGAGGCGATGCCGGAGAAGGCGGTGGACGACGTCATGGAGGCCGCGGTGGGGGCCCACTTCAGCGGCCTCCGCCTCCAGGCGCTGCGCCTCTCCACCTCCACCTCCGCCCCCACTTCCCCTTCCTCCTCCCCCGCCGCCGCGGCGCACACGCACTCCAACGGCGCCGTCTACGCCAACGGCACTGCCGAGCTCCCCTCCCCTGCGGCTGCCCGGCAGCCTTTCGTCATCGGTAGGTCGTCATGCGACCCCTCCCTGCTAGCGCTCGCCGCTCCAGCGGGTGGAATGGCCAGCTCGGCCCCGCCCTTTCTCGGATTCTCGTGCTGCCTAGCCCGCTCCTCATTTGTTGGTCCTGATTCAGAATTTCTGCTTGATTTTCTCAAAGGGGTTTCTGGAGGGACGGCGTCGGGGAAGACGACGGTGTGCGACATGATTATCCAGCAGCTGCACGACCACCGCGTCGTGCTCGTTAACCAGGTGTGTGTGCTCACTGTTGCTTCTGTGGCTGCGGCTGGATTGTTTTGGTTTGAGAACGTCCTCCTGCTGCTACTGCCTCCTGTCAAGCTTGGCTCTGTACTTTCCTGGTTTTGTGTAGTGTATTCGAACTGGAAGATCGGAAATGTAACCTAGTGATTTCATAGATGGGGGATAGCTGAAGATTCTTGTGTATCTGTATGAAAATGCTAGTGAGGTTGTGCACACCCTTCCATTTGACTATTCTTGTGGGCTGCGATAGTTAGAATTGACAAATATGGATTTGGTTTGACAAATCGTGCAAACCAACCTAATGGTGGAAACTTCTGAAAAACCTGTTGAAACTTAAAACTCATTTTGGGCTTGCCATTTTGCAGGATTCATTCTACCGTGGCCTAACTGCTGAAGAGTCTGCACATGCACAAGACTACAATTTTGATCACCCTGGTACTGCATTTGCTGTTTTGGGTATCCTGCCTGTGTCAGCGATCAGAGCTGAATTGATTTGTTGACATGTGAGATGGACTGTATTCTTTGCTTGCAGATGCATTTGATACAGAACAACTTCTGGATTGCATGGGACAACTGAAACGTGCTCAACCTGTAAATGTTCCTATATATGATTTCAAGAAGCATCGTCGGTGTTCTGGCAGCTTTAGGAAGGTAGCAGTCACTCACAAACTTGTCAGCGTGAAAAAGTTGCCAATCCTTTGTGATTTCAAGTTCATGTCATTGACCTTTGAATGATTTTGTAGAACATTTCTTTCCTTCTTTTGTATGTCTGTAATTAGATGACTGTTTCATACTATGAATTATAAACCTAACTCCAACAAAACTGCCTTTTCGTGTTTTTTAGAGCATTTGCAACTTTATTTTTTATCCTCCTTATCTGCGCCAGAGGCGCAATCTACAGTAAGGCAAAGAAATTGGAGGTTTGGTTTTTTGTTATTGTCATATTCTGTTTTTTTTTTCTGTTATAGCTATAGATATTGGTGCAGAGCGACACACTTCTTCTAAAAGTAGCATTGTAAAATCACATAAGGTAAAAAACAGGGTTGAATTAGCTGGCATATATAGTAAAATCATGATGATACTATATATCTCATCAGTTGTCATATGTCAATGTTCTGTATTTTTGTTTATTTCAGTAATTCAATACCAATATATACCTAAAAAAATGGATTCTGATTTGTCATGTTTAAAATTAGGAAGTTCATGTGATTGTAAGCTAATAATAAACTTCACAACCCTTTTACTAACTAAGCACCTGGTCCAATTTCATTTTGCCAGGTCAATGCATCAGATGTCATTATTTTGGAGGGCATTTTAGTCTTCCATGATCAGAGAGTTCGCAATCTGATGGACATGAAAATTTTCGTAGACACAGGTTTATCCTCATTCGTAGCATTTGTTTTGTTATAGAAATTATGAATTGCTCCTTAATTTATTTAGCTGAAATGTTGTTCCTTTTTTTCTTTGTGCGCGCGTGTGCTTGTGCGTGTGTGTGTGGGGGGGGGTTGTGATGCGTAAATCAGATGCTGATATTAGGCTTGCTCGACGAATCAGGCGTGATACAGTTGAAAGAGGAAGAGACATTAGCTCAGTGCTTGACCAGGTAGTCCTATTATTATTATTTTTTACCTTGAGTTTATAACCCTGCGCTATATGTATGCCCTTTACATCTTCCCCTTTTTTTATATACAATTTCTTGTATTGCAACATGAAATGCTGTTGGCATGTGTAGTATGGGAGGTTTGTGAAGCCAGCATTCGATGATTTTGTTTTGCCTTCAAAGAAGTATGCTGACGTGATCATTCCTCGAGGAGGTGATAACCATGTAGCAGTTGATCTGATTGTTCATCATATCCGTACCAAACTTGGTCAGCATGACTTGTGCAAAATCTATCCGAATGTTCATGTTGTTCAATCAACTTTTCAGGTAAAGCTAGAAATCTTTACCATTGGTTTAAATTTATACTGTTATTTTGCTATTTTCGTAATTCCTTGCCTTTTGTAATGAATTTGACAGATCCGAGGAATGCATACTCTTATTCGTGATAGGGAAATTACTACACCTGACTTTGTCTTTTATTCAGATCGATTGATCCGTTTGGTACTACTTTATTTCATAACCTTTATTTCCCTTCTTCAACTTCATGGCCAGTTATTTGATCTAGTTGATTTATGGATTTGCTGTGTAAGGTAGTGGAGCATGGTCTTGGACATTTGCCATTTACAGAAAAGCAGGTTATTACTCCAACAGGTATTTTGCATGTGGCACCTTATATCTCGTAGCTGCTTAGTTGTGCACCTTATGAGTATTTTACTTTTTTTTTTCTATTTTGTTCCATCCTGAATGTTTGACTTTCAGGTTTAGGCTCAGAGGAATATCTTTTGTAACTATCTAGAATAATTTGATGCTTTATGCCATCTTGGTTCCTGAGATAGTCTACTGTTAGTTCTGAGAAACTTAGCCACCTCAACAGTAATGGATTACTGTTAACGAAATCTGGTCGGCAGTCTACCGAGGGGTATACCCACGATAGTAGATGATCGGTGGAGGTGCGCGTAATAGGAACGGGATGGTGACACAAGGCGCAGAGACATCGATTTAGACAGGTTCGGGTCATCTGATCGACGTAATACCCTACGTCCTGTGTCTTTGTTTGATTGTATTGAATATGAGATGAATTCATGGGGGGTCCCTACCCGCCTTATATAGGTTGGGGGGTAGGGTTACAAGTCGGTTTAGGTCTAGATCTATTCGGTTATATGGTAAGTATTTACAAGGAATACGATATCTATCATATCCGAAAAGATCTTCCTTTATCGTCAAGATGTCTTCTGATTGCCTTGCGGTGCACGCCGACCAGAACTGGGCACCGTAGGCCTTGATCTTATGGGCTGGACCTCCCCAGGCGGTGCGGCCCATGTCCATTGTCGTGGGTACCTAGGGTTATACCCCCCACAGCTAGTCCTCGAACGCCTTGTATCCGCTGAGCAACGCCGTCTTGAGCAAATCCGAGCAGTTTTAACTTGGAGTCAAACAGTTAATCTAGTAATCCGACCAGTTTAACTGGTAATCCAAACAACAAAATGTAGTGCCGACCAGTTTAACTGATGATCCGAGCGGTGGAAGTCAAAGCCAACCAGTTTAACTGGTAATCCAATCAATAAAATGAGGTGCCGACCAGTTTAACTGATGATCTGAGCGGTGGAAGTCAAAGCCAACCAGTTTACCTGGTACGCAGATCTTGGATTTAGCCAAGTAAGGCTTTGGCAGAAGGATGTAAGGAGCTCAAGTTTAAAATTTAAAAAAATTCTCCACCTTTGGTGAAGTGTACACACTTAGGCTTCGTTAGCGAAGTCCGATGATCATCATCCCTGACTTAGTCAAAGAGGATGTTAGTATCGATACGTGCGTCGCTAGGTGCAATGTATACATTGTAGTCCTCGAGCCTGACAGTAGGTGAAGAAGACACCTGGTGTCAGGATCAAAGAATATTAACGATCACTTAGTTAGAATAACCAACTCCTAGCTTAGCCGAGCACACAGCTAGTCCCCAGCTTGGCTGAAAACCAGTAAGGAGGAAAAACAATACACTAACCGCAAGGTGAAGTGTACACACTTAGTCCCTGAGCCTGCTGTAAGATAGAGAAACATCTTGTAGCAGGATCAAAGAACATTATTAATATTGAAATCAAATAATATATTCTCAGCTTAGCTGTGAAAATTACACTCACCGCTAGGTGAAGTGTACACACTTAGTCCCCGAGCCTGCTGTAAGATAAAGTTGCATCTTGTAGCAGGATCAAAGAATTAAGTGTAGAGGATGAAGTCCCCGTGCTTAGCAATGGGCATGTGGAGTAAAACTCGATAATATCGAGCAGTAAAACATGGAGAAAACGGAGAGTGCTTAGCACTTAGATTGCTGCGATAGATATACTTATCAAGGCCCCTGACGTGCCGCCCAGGATCAGCACCCTGATCCGGATAGCGTGGACCACCTTGATAGCACATATGACATGCAGCGTCGGCAAAACGTAGTAAGCCATCAGGCGAATCGACAGACGAGACGTAGCAAAATCCGACCGCTAAGGGAGCTCCCAGCTTAGCTGACGATCAAGCGACGGACAATCCAAACGCCGAGAAGTCCCCAGCTTAGCTGGCGAGCCTTCGGCATAGCTGACGATGAAGCGACGGACAATCCGACCAGTTGATTGACGGAGAATCGAGCACCGAGCAGCCCAACCAACTGGTCGGCGGCGAAGTGAACGCCGAATAGTACGACCAACTGGTCGGCGACGAAGTCATGAACCTAGCGGTCTGACCAGTTGATCGGCGGAGAAACCCGAAGGCCAGGTGGTACGACCACCCAGACAATAATCCTGCAATACAAATATGTAGAACGGGTAGTACATGATTTAAAGATAAAATATGTGAACTCGGTGATGAAGAAAACAGAGCGGAGTTGATCAGGATCAATGTATCGGTGAATTATATATCCTGCGGAGCAGTTTATGTTTATTTGGAGTTGATCATGGAAAGTGCTTAGCACTATACCGTGACGAACATTGGAGAACATGGTGAAATTTGGAGACTGCGGCGAAATTTGGAGACCGTGGCGAAATTTGGAGACCGCGGCGAAATTTGTAGACCGTGGCGAAATTTGGAGATTGTGGCGAAAATTGGAGACCGGCGCGGCTTGATTACGACTTAGGCAGCTCGCTTGGCGGCTCGGGCGGCTCGGCGGTACGGCGGCTCGGCGACACGGTGGCTCGAGCGGCTCGGCGGCTCTAGCGGCTCGGCGGCACGGCGGCTACGCAAAGTCGTAGGCAAACGGGCGTAATCGGAGCCTGGCGGAGTCAATTCGCGTGGGAGGCGAAGCCCTTGAGCGTGTTCGACCGAGCCGAGGGCGCAGTTCGATTTTAATGGCGATATTTTACGTCATCTTAAAGATGTTTAGCATGGAGAAATACAAAAGTTAATTGGAGGAAAATTACGGAGAAAACAACAAATGGAGAAAACATCATGAAGAAAATCATTATTGAAATACATAAATACATAAGAGGTATATATCTTAGTAGGACGTCTCAAGGATAGAAACGGCTGGGGTGTTCGATGTGCTAAGAGTTAGGGATGTCTACGCCGTCTTGATCATAGAACCTATATGACCCTGGTCGGGTCACAGCCTTGACGATGTATGGACCTTCTTGGAGTCGGCGATGCAAGCCTCCATTCTGGCTGAGATGTCGATTGCTTCGGCGATGGCGAGTCCTCTTTCGCAGTCGTAGGCGGTGGAGGCGCTGGCACGCAGGGTGAGAACGCCCTGTTCCGTCGGGATCTTCAACACCTGGTAGACATAATGGGGCACGGCCATGAACTTGGCGAGAGCTGGTCGGCCAAGGATGGCGTGGTAAGCGGTGTTGAAGTCGGCCACGAAGAGGTTCACGTACTCAGTACGGAAGTGGTCGGCGGTGCTAAACTGGACTGGCAAGGTGATCTACCCCAAAGGTTGGAACGCTCTGCCAGGTACAATCTCTCAGAATGGAGAGTCAACAGGGACGAGATCGTCCTTTGTGAGGCCTAACTCAGTTAGGGCTCCGGCGAAAAGGACATTGAGGGCACTCCCACCGTCGATGAGGACCTTCTTGAACCGCACGTTGCGGATGGTGGGGTTTAACATGAGTGGGAAACGCCCAGGGTATGGGATATCTGCCCACTGGTCGGCCCTACTGAATGTGATAGGATGCTCCGACCAGTCTAGATATTTGGGATCGACGACCGTGTCGTACTTCGTGATCGACATGACTTGCTGAGCGGTAAGCTTCTGCTGGCGTTTGCTCTCGGAGGCAGCATATCCTCCGAAGATTGTGGTGACGGTCTTGTTGGCATCTTGGAAAGCATGTCGTGTATCCTTAGTACACTCCTCCTTGCCATCATCTGATTCGTCGTCCTTGCGCGTCTACCGTTTCTTCTCTTCATCGCGGAAAGCTCTGGCCATGCCATGGCATTGCCGCATGGTGTGGTTGCTGTTCTTTTGAATTAAGCATGGACTGTCAAGAAGTTCTTCGTAGGCAGCATTGAAATTTCGCTTAGCTCGTGGCTGCTCTACATTGTCGATGGAGTTTTCCGGTCGGCGGCGACGTGGCTGTGCAGCCCTTGATCCCTCTGGCCGATCATTATGACGGCGTTCGCGATCGTCGTAGCGCCTGTCGCGATCTTCATAACGCCGTTCTTCGTGGCGATCATCATCACGACGTGGGTGGCGATCCGAGCGGGAAGCACGAGCGACGTCGTCCTTGAACTGCCGATCGGCTTCTTCGGAGTCTGCGTATGAGTTTGCCACCTTGAGGAGTTCGCCAATGGTCTGGGGGCTCTTGCGGTAAAGTTTGGAGCGCAACTCCTGATGGTGGAGTCATCTGGTGAAAGTAGAGATGGCCTCGCTGTCCCCGATGTTGGGGATGGTGTTCCTTGTTTCGGAGAAGCGCCTGATGTAGCTTCGCAGAGGTTCCCCAGAGGTCTGATGGAGTTTCTCCAGATCATATTTCGTGCCAGGCTGCTGGCACGTTGTAATTCTTGATGAAGACTTTCTTGAGATCATCCCAAGATTCGATGGAGTCCTCCCTTAGACCCATAAGCCAATTGTTTGCTGTTTGGGAGAGCATGACAGGCAAATAATTTGCCATTACGTCGTTGTTTCTCCCGGCGGCACATACGACGATCTCGTAGAGCTGCATGCACTGCCCGGGATTAGCCTTGCCATCGTAAGGATCGACCTCGAAGATCTTGAAACCTGCTGGCCACTATACAGCTCGCAACCTTGCTGTGAAGGGGCGAGGTCCTGTTGGCTCGATAGCAGGGAGTGGTTGGAGGCCGACGGGGTTGCCATGTTAGTCGTCGTACTCCTGTCGGCGTTAGTTCTGCCTGATGTCGCTGGGCACGACTGTTCTCGATGCGATTGCGGACATCGAGATTGGCGTTGATGCGCTCACGGCCGTCACCGCGCAGGGGTTGATTAACCTCCTGGTTGGCGTTACGAGTTGGTCGGCCACGTTGATTTCGTGGTCCTTGTGATCCGGGATTGATGGCAACATTGCCCTTGACCCCCTTGGACGATCTGGCCGCTATGGTAACGACTCCCCCCATCACGGCGAAAACTACGAGGGTTACGACTGCGTGCGGTCGCTGTCGAATAAGACGGAGCTAGGTTCCGGATGTCGTTGACTTGGACCTGAGCTGCTTTAAGCAGCGCTTGAATCTTGATTACCTCCGGCGTTGGTGGGAGTCGAGCCAACTCGTGGGTGGCCACAGCCAGATTGGCACTCGGCGTCTGCTCCACTTGCTGGTTGTCCACCATGAGGAACTCTTGTTGAAGATTACGGGCGAGAGGCGGCGGGCCAACTTCTACTTCTTCGTTGCGATGTCGCTGGCAATCAGCGTTCCTGGTTTCGCGCTCACGGCGCTGGACACTGGTTTCTCCATCGATAGCGATGCTATCGTGGCTAACCATGAAGAGCTCTCTCCCAAAGCCTGGAGGGAAAGGTGGGCAGTTGCTGGTAGAGGCTTCGCAGTATGGCTCGGGGCTTTCCTCCAGGATTATATGGAGCGTGTCATCCGGAAGATCTGTTCGGATTTGCACCATGTTTAGCATTGGTGCAGGATGGTCGGCCTCAGGGAAGTCGATCTGATAGAGGTCGTTGATGTGGCTGCGCTCGGCGTGGTCGGCGAAAAGATGGTGCACGACATCCTGACAGATCGGACCCGCACCCACCGGCCCGAAAGAATAGGGCTTCGGCATGCTCTCCGTTGGGGCGGGAAGTGGTCTGCGTTGGACGGTACGCCCTTCCGAAGTTGCCGTGATCAACAAATCTTCATCTTGCTACCTCGAACGACAAGCACGAGCAGGGTGATCGGCATTAGTGGCATGGTGACCTTGGAGTGCAGGAGGTTCGCCGCTCGCTCTAGATCGATCTAAGACCGAATCTACGAGGAGCTGACATTCCGCTAAGCGATCCGTGACCCGATCGATAGCTTCGATCAGATTGCCATTGTTGATGGATCTCCTAACTCAGCAGCGAGGCGTCGGGATCGGAGATGTTGTAGATGTTGGCACGATCGGCGCAAGGTGATCCTGCACCGCCTCCATGATTTCCCCGCTGCCGTCGGGGCCGATGACCCAAGTCATGGATCCGACCGTGAAGATCTGGCCCGGCTCGGGAAAGGCCATGGAGCTCAGGAAAGTGACCATCTAGTTGGCCATGGAATCAACACGTACACCCCCTACCTGGTGCGCCACTGTCGACAAAATCTGGTCGGTAGTCTACCGAGGGGTATACCCACGATAGTAAATGATCGGTGGAGGTGCGCGTAATAGGAACCGAATGGTGACACAAGGCGCAGAGACAGCGATTTAGACAAGTTCGGGCCGTCTGATCGACGTAATACCCTACGTCCTGTGTCTTTGTTGGATTGTATTGAATGTGAGATGAATTCGAGGGGGGTCCCTACCCACCTTATATAGGTTGGGGGTAGGGTTACAAGTTGGTTTAGGCCTAAATCTATTCGGTTATATGGTAAGCATTTACAAAGAATACGATATCTATCATATCCGAAAAGATCTTCCTTTATCGTCAAGATGTCTTCTGATTGCCTTGCGGTGCACGCCGACTAGAACTGGACACCGTAGGCCTTGATTTTATGGGCTGGACCTCTCCTGGCGGTGCGGCCCATATCCATTGCCGTTGGTACCTGGGGTTATACCCCCCCACAATTACCCTATCACTGAAATACATTGTTATGTATCTAGCTGTGTTTGCTGATAACATTAGTACCACTTTGAAATGGCAATTTGTGGCTAGCTGTAAAAAATTATTTGGATAGGATTTGCTTTTATTGTGTTTGAAATATCTTTGGAAAACGAAACTAAAAAGGCATAAAAAGCTTGTTGATGATCCTTCTCATTTCAGACAATTTGTGTTTTTTGTCATTTTTTGCCTAGGTGTATCTTACATTGAGAAATAAAAATACTATGATTTTGGTTGAACATCATCTCATGTCATATTTGTCTGGGTTCAGGATCTGTTTATATGGGAGTTGACTTCTGTAAGAAGCTCTGTGGAGTGTCTATTGTGCGAAGGTAAGCCAAATAAAGTTACCTTCAACACTAACACACAAGCAAAAACATTTCAAGAAGCAGGGATCTAAATGATGTACAGTTGGACACACACACTCTGAATTAACCATGGCACATGATAGATGTTAAACAAGAATGTACATGAGGATTTGTTATGTAGAGAATTTTGCATTATATCTTGGCGTGTAGAAGCTTCTGCCTTTTGTATTTGCCATGCTCTTTTTTAAGCATCAATGGCAGGTGCTCTGCCTTTTCATTTAGCATATTTGCCATGCTCTTGCAACATAGTTTTGTAAATAAACCAGACTAAATATGTGGAACATTTCCTCCTGCTTTATCTGGATACCCTTCTTTTATGAGTATTTCGTTCCTTTTAGGATTCATACTTCACCATCATGAATCATTATGACCACTTGGTACTCAATATACTACAACAACAACAACAACAAAGCTTTTAAATCCCAAACAAGTTGGGGTAGGCTAGAGTTGAAACCCAACAGAAAAAATCAAGGTTTAGCCACGTGAATAGCTGTCTTCCAAGCACTCCTATCTAAGACAAAGTCTTTGGGTATATTCCATCATTTCAAGTCTTCTTTTATTGCCTCTATCCAAGTTAACTTCGGTCTTCCTCTTTCTCTCTTCACGTTACTATCCTAGCTTAGAATTCCACTACGCACCGGTGCCTCTGGAGGTCTCCATTGAACATGTCCAAACCATCTCAACCGGTGTTGGATAAGATTTTCTTCAATTAGTGCTACCCCTAATCTATCACGTATATCATCATTCCGAACTCGATCCCTTCTTGTATGACCGCAAATCCAACACAACATACGTATTTCTGCGACACTTATCTGTTGAACATGTCGTCTTTTCGTAGGCTAACATTTTGCACCATACAACATAGCAGGTCCAATCGTCGTCCTATAAAACTTGTCTTTTAGTTTCTGTAGTACCCTTTTGTCACATAGGATACCAGATGCTTGCCACCATTTCATCCACCCAGCTTTGATTCTATGGCTAATATCTTCATCAATATCCCCGTCTCTCTGTAGCATTGATCCTAAATATCGAAAGGTATCCTTCCTAGGCACAACTTGACATTTTAAACTAATATCTTCCTCCTCCCGAATAGTAGTGCCGAAGTCGCATCTCATATACTCAGTTTTAATTCTACTGAGTCTAAAACCTTTGGACTCCAAAGTCTCCCGCCATAACTCTAGTTTCTGATTCACTCATGTCTGGCTTTCATCAACTAGCACTACATCGTCCGCGAAAAGCATACACCAAGGGATGTCCCCTTGTATGTCCCTTGTGACCTCATCCATCATTAAGGCAAACAAATAAGGCCTCAAAGCTGACCCTTGATGTAGTTATATCCTAATCGGGAAGTCATCCGTGTCTCCATCACTTGTTCGAACTCTAGTCACAACATTGTTGTACATGTCCTTAATGAGCCCGACGTACTTCGTTGGGACTTTATGTTTGTCCAAAGCCCACCACATAACATTCCTTGGTATTTTGTCATAAGCCTTCTCCAAGTCAATAAAAACCATGTGTAGGTCCTTCTTCTTCTCTCTATACCGCTCCATAATTTGTCTTATTAAGAAAATGGCTTCCATGGTTGACCTTCCGGGCATGAAACCAAATTGGTTCATAGAGACCCGCGTTATTGCTCTCAAGCGATGCTCGATAACTCTCTCCCATAGCTTCATAGTATGGCTCATCAACTTAATTCTCCGGTAGTTAGTACAACTTTGAATATCCCCTTTATTTTTATAGATCGGTATCAATATACTTCTCCTCTGCTCATCAGGCATCTTGTTCGATCGAAAAATATGGTTGAACAGCTTGGTTAGCCATACTATAGCTATGTCCCCAAGACATCTCCACGCCTCGATTGGGATACCATCCGGTCCCATTGCCTTACCTCCTTTCATCCTTTTCAACGCCTCTCTGATCTCAGATTATTGGATTCTCCGCATAAAGCGTCTATTGGTGTCATTAAAAGAGTCATCCAACTGAAATGTTGTGTCTATATTCTCACAATTGAACAATTTGTCAAAATACTCTTGCCATCAATGTCGGATCTTATCCTCCTTCACCGACAGATGCTCTCTTTCATCCTTAATGCACTTAACTTGGTTGAAGTCTCTTGTCTTTCTCTCACGAACCATAACCATCCTATAAATGTCATTCTTTCATTCCTTCGTACTCAAATGTTGGTAAAGATCCTCGTGTGCTCTACCATTTGCCACACTTACAGCTCGCTTTGCAGTCTTCTTTGCCACCTTGTACTTCTCTATGTTGTCCACACTGTTATCATGGTACAAGCGTCTATAGCATTCTTTCTTCTCCTTAATAGCCTATTGAACTTTTTCGTTCCACCACCAAGTATCTTTAGCCTCGCCTCCACTTTTTTTGGTTACTCCACACACCTCTGAGGCCACCTTCTGAATGTTGGTAGCTATCTTCTCCCACATGTTGTTTATGTCCTCATCTTCCTTCCAAGAGCCCTCTTTGATAACCCTTTCCCTGAATACCTCTGACGTCTTCCCTTTCAGTTTTCACCACTTTGTTCTTTCAATCTTAGCTTGTTTATCCCTACGGGCACGCACCTGAAAATGAAAGTCTGCCACCAAAAGCTTATGTTGAGAAACAACACACTCCTCTGGTATCACCTTGCAACCCAAGCATGCTCGTTTGTCCTTTCTTCTTGCGAGGACAAAGTCAATCTGGCTAAAATGTTGTCTGCTACTGAAAGTCACTAGATGAGATTATCTCTTTCTAAAGAAAGTGTTGGCTATCATCAGGTCAAAAGCTACCGCGAAGTGCAGAACTTCCTCCCCCTCCTGATTCCTACTACCATACCCAAAACCTCCATAAACTGCCTCGAAACCTGCGCTTGTAGTACCTACATGCCCATTAAGATCTCCTCATATAAAAAGCTTCTCACTACTAGGTACAGCTCTAATCAGGCCATCTAAGTATTCCCAGAACTCTCTTAGCACTCTCGTCGAGGCCTACTTGAGGGGCATACGCACTAATTACATTCAAGACCATATCACCAACGACAAGCTTGACTAAGATAATCCTATCTCCTTGCCTTCTCACTCCCACCACACTATTCTTGAGGCTCTTATCAGTCAAAACTCCTACTCCATTTCTATTCGCGACTGTCCCTGTGTACCAAAGCTTGAAACCTGTATTGTCCACCTCCTTCGCCTTTTGACCGTTCCATTTAGTCTCTTGAACACATAATATATTTACACGCCTCCTAGTCGTGGTATCAACGAATTCTCTTAACTTACCTGTAAGCGACCCTACATTCCAACTACCTAAACGGATCCTAGTTGGTTCGACTAGCTTCCTTACCCTTCGCACCCGTCGACTCAGATGTGAAGACCCTTGCTCATTTTTCACTACACTCGGTCGCCGATGTAGTGCGCCACTAAGGAAGCGATGACCCGATCCTTGCTCACTTGTCACCATGCCTAGATCACGACACGGCGCGTCACCAAGGGGGTGCCGACCCGGCCCTTGCCCATTTAACACCATACCTGGGTTCCGATATGGCGCGTCGCTAAGAGGGTTACGCCCCAACGAATTTCTTTCGGGTTTCATCTCCATTAGAATGGCTAGATTTAACGTTGGCTCGCCACACCTATCACAACCCTCCTCCTTTACCAGGGCTTGGGACCTGCTATGTTGAGACAACATAGACGGAGTTCACTTGGTACTCAATATGTTCACATTTAACTTCTGTGCAAGCAACATGTTCTGAAATTCCACGTTATCATCCTTCGCATGCATCATGTCCCTAACCCCCCCCCCCCCCCCCCCCCACACACACACACACCAACACACACAAAATGCATTTTTGCAGTAAAATTTGTGCATTTTTAATATATTAATAGAGTTATGGAGTAATTTTAGCTTTATTTATACCTCATTTAATTGCAGTGGTGAGAGTATGGAGAACGCATTGCGTGCTTGTTGTAAAGGAATAAAAATTGGTAAAATTCTAATTCATCGTGTTGGAGACAATGGACAGCAGGTAAGCATTCAGATATTATGATAAACAATTCCTTAACAGGTACTCCCTCCGTTCCAAAATGGAAGGTGTTTCGGGTTTGTCCTGACTTCTAAGTCAAATTTCTCTAACTTTGACCAAGTAAATACATTATCAAGACATTTTATGGTGGATTTAATGAAATTAATTTGATGTTGTATATGTTGGTGCATTTTTCTATAAACCTGGTCAGTTTTAGATAAGTTTGACTTAGGAAAAAACTAAAACATCTTACGTTTTGGAACGGAGGGAGTATGTTTCAAGTGATCGAACTAATCGCCATGGATACTTATAATAAACTTTCTGCATCTAGCTTGTTTATCACAAACTGCCCATGGATATTGCTGAACGACATGTTCTACTTCTGGATCCAGTGCTTGGTACAGGTCAGTTTTGCCTGCTACTCTGTTTCTGCTGCTTGTTTGTTTGAACTGAAGTTGATTTAGGTTGTGATGACAAAAATAGATTCAGGTTGTGATAACAAAATAACATCCTGTAGAAACTATCCACATGTCCAGAAATTATTTGGTCTACGAGATATCCTGATACAATATCACTCAAGGATAATCAACATTGCATTCACAGATGTGCAATCAATGAAGAATCTTGTTTATTGGCATATCTGTTTGGAAATGCCCTAAATCTTGTAAAATCTGATGCATTGCTGAATTATTAACTGGTCATTCTTTATGCCCTCAATAAATATGAAAGTTTGGTGTTACATCCTTCTCTTGAGTTTGAAGCAGATACTTCTTGTGCTTCATAATTAGTTTGTACAGTATTTATCAGGCTATGAACAGGTAGCACAGGTGGATCTCACTATGCTCATGACGATGACTTTATTTTATAGGTAACTCAGTGGCCCAAGCAATTGACCTTCTGATAAGAAAAGGTGTTCCTGAGGGTCGGATCATTTTCCTCAATCTCATCTCGGTATATTTCTTTGCATATTTAATGGTTCCAATGCGTATTGTCTGTTTTGTTTAGTTGCATAACCCCCTTCTACACTCCCTTTTTTGTGTGTGTGGAAGCAGGCTCCTGAAGGGATTCAGTGTATTTGCAAGCGATTTCCTTCTTTGAAGATTGTAACGTCTGAAATCGATTATGGTCTGAACGAGGAATTCAGGGTGATACCAGGACTGGGAGAATATGGTGACCGCTACTTCGGCACAGACAATTGATGGCTCATACCACTCTGGGTGTGTGAAATCTCACTTGATCCCTGGAAAGGGATGATATCTTGGAAGTACCATTCACTATGGAGGCCGTAGTTGTGTTTAATAGTTTGTACAACCTTTGACATAAAAGTTTGAGTGCTTGACCAAGGGCAGAGGGGGATGCCAGAGAAGGATGTCTGTGAACTCGGAGAACGTGTTGTACGATTTTAGCCTTGTACGGGTGCAGAAACATTGTTCATCACCTAATGTTTTCAAATCAGCGTCTTTGATTTAGGTGGTGTTGGAATCCAGAGTGTAAAGTTTAGGGATATCATATCGGATGTTACATTATGGTGTCACGTATAAGTATTTGGATAGTAGTAATAAAATAAACTATAGAAGTCCTCAGTAAACTGCGAGACGAATTTATTAAGTCTAATTAATTAGTCATTAGTATATGTTTACTGTAACATCGTATTGTCAAATCATGGACTAATTAGGCTTTAAAAATTTATTTCACAAATTAACTGTAATCTGTGTAATTAATTATTTTTTTAGTCTATATTTAATACTTTATGCATGTGTCAAACATCCGATACGGCAGAGAGGATGACCTAAACAAGGCTCGATGCTTCTCGATGAGGACGGCATGCGATCAAAACTTACAAAAACGCCTTAACTGTTTACGTTCTTCGCTGATCAAACAGCTTCGGACTTGGTGCACTAATTTGGATTAAACGGGGGCGAATGAGGTGTGGCCGTGTGGAGCTGGAACTGCATCGAACTCTGACGTGGTGGTCGAGTCCGCTGATTCGGGGCCAAAGCATCGAACGACCATCACACGCTGACAAGAAAATCATAAATCATTGCAATTGTCAAAGTTAAAAAATGTGTCTGAAACCGTACAAGTACAACAGAGATGCAAACCGCTTAAGCTGCAAAGGATAATTACCGTATTTCAAATGTTGACACGGATTGTGGCTACTTGCATGACAAACTTTTGATTCAGCAGGTAACGCCAGTAGACACGTCCCAGTAATATGATTTCAGCTGGGTTGGGTGGGCCATGGCGTACTCCCAGCCCAGTCTCTGGCGGCGCTCTCGACCTTCTTTTTTTTCTTTTTCCTGTCCCGTCTGATACGTACTTGTACATACGAATGGGCCGTGCATGATTCCGTTGACGGCTCAAGATACCGATGCCATTGTTCTCAGCAGTAAAAAGTCCATTTTGCCACCCTCAACTATCACAAAAGTAAGCTTTTCCTCTTTCAACTCTAAAACCAGAAATAACTCCTCCCTCATCTTCCAAAATCGGTCACTTGACCCCATGACTGTTTCCCTAGGTTGTTTTTCTTTTATATTTATTTCAGCTAAATTTTTTTAAAAAATATAGTAAATCATAGAAAAATCATAAAATGGAAAATCTAATTGTGTTGGACTTTACATGATTAGGTCTACACAGTGAGTAGATCTACTCATGTAGAGTCCAACACAATTGTATTTTTTATTTTATGATTTTTCTATAATTTATTACGATTTTTCAAAGATTCTGTAGAAATAAATATATATAAAAAAGGAAAACCACCAAGGAAACAGCCATGGGAGTTCAAGTCATGGGCGGCGGCAGGGGTATGCCCCTGTATGCCTTGGCATGCCCATGATTTGAGAGAAAAAAATAATATGTATAATATACACTAATACACAGGTTTATACGTACCTCGGAGGAGTCACTCGAAGGCCCAATACAACAAAAGTTTCTGGCAGCCCACGAACGAAGCCCCAGAATACACCTTCGTGACTCCGTCGCTCGGTCGCCCCTGCCCGGCGCCCCTTTCCCTGCTCGCGTGTAGCTTCATGGCGCGTTGCAGCCTACCGTGTGCCTGACTGGCTGACGATTCATCTGCCGCCGCGCCCCACAAGACGAAGCATTACACTCGTCGCAAGAATTGAGCGTCGACCCCGTCTACCGAGTGTCCTCTTCCTGCCTAGTGCCTTCCGATCTTGGCCTGCTTGTGACTCTGAATATGTGCCTGGACTGGCTGGAAAAGGTAAGTTAATTAGACCTATAGAGTCCTGACGTGCTAGCAAATTCTTAATTTAATAATTTACTAATGCTATTGTCGGCTGATTTGACTTGTTTGTGTTTTCTTTTGTTCTGATTAGAGTAAAGGGCCGAAGACATTAGACATTTAGGCATGGGACTTGACTTAATATATATATATATATACACTCTATGAATTTATTTAAATTAATTCAATCCACATCATGTCTACTAGAAATAGAAAATATGATTCTTGAGGTTAGTAATATTTTTACTGTATTTCTACATATGGTACAAAAGAATACATATTAAAGTTATAAATTTAAGTGAAAGTATGTCTATAAGACATGTTAAAGTCATATGTTTCACTGAAGCTATGATTTAATTTTATTAGCCATGCAACTTGTATAAACTTTAGGGCCTCGATTTATCGTCGCTCCGGCCCCAAATTTCTCAAGACAGCCCCAGGCACGGAGCACCTCCCCTACTCCGGCGACCGGCATCGCCGGGCAGCACCTCGCCACGTCCCCCACTCCAGCCGACTCGCCCCCTGCACTCCCCCCTCGCCGGCTCGACCGGTCGCCCCCTGCGGGCTGCGGTCCCTTGCCCTTTTCCCTGCTGCGGATGCTTCGAAATTTTATACATGTGGCATACCCAGCCATAAATTTCTGGCTCCGCCACTGGTTCAAGTGACCGGTTTTGGAAGATGAGTAAGGAGTTATTTCTAATTTTAGAGTTGAGGGAGAAAAAACTGACTTTTATAATACTTAAGAGAGGCAAAAATAAACTTTTTTCCTTCTCAGCGCGGACGTTTGGATGGAATACCACCTGCACATTGCGTTTGGATTTTATCAAATCGTCTTTGGACACATGACCCACCAGCATATGGGCTGTCAGGTGGGCCTGTTATAGTGTCATGGGTGCCCTCCAATGGTACAGGCCGGTCCTCCGTGGTTGGGGCTGTCTGTCGAAGTCACGAAGAGATTCTGCAATCACCAGCTACTAGAGGTGTCACTCACTTGAGGGGACTTGCAGTATAGTACAGGTGACCCATGACCATGCATGCCCCCTCTCAGTTTTCACTTCCCAATGATGGTCTGATGCAATACTTCAACACTGGGGAATGGAGCCAGGATTCCAGGAGCAAGTATGCGCATGAGCTAGAAACAGAAAGGAACTGAAGCGTGCACAACCCCCAAACGCTTGTCCTTTTGCTAAACAGCAATAAACTATACGACGCATGATGAATTTAGGATAGGATACAAGTATTGCAGTCCATTTCAATTTCTATGTAGAGACTTAGGCCCTGTTTGGTTGGACTTTTGGCTTTGACTTTTGGCCTCAAAAGCCAAAAGCCCAACCAAAGGGGCTGCTTTTGGATGGTGCTTTTTCAGAAGCAGCTGCTTTTCCGTAGTTCATTTTTAAAAGCTGGGTTGACTCTGCTTTTAGCTTTTGGCTTTCTGCTTTTCGAAATTGGTGGAATAAAAAACTCTTCCATAGTTGTTTCAAGAGAGATAAAGATAAAAGGTATATTTTATACTTGTTTAACCAAACAGCTTTCAGCTTTTCTACAGCTCACAGCCCACAGCAGCTTTTCCACAGCTCACAGCCCACAGCAGCTTTTTTCCACAGCCACAGCTCAACCAAACAGGGCCTTATTTGGATGCACTCGTATTTAGGGATATAAGTGAATATGAAAGATATCAATTATCGAGGCTTTATTTTCAAGATTTATCGTGTTTTTGACTAAAACAAAAAATGGTAGTGATAATAATATTACGGTAGAATGGCATACATAGCAGGCTAAAGATCAACAACTCATGGATGTCAGTGATGGATTGAATGTCCCACAATTTGTTTTGAAATTCTTGCGCCAATGGATTTTGGCGTGATGGCAAGGCCAACTTGCGGCTATCCAAGGCAACAGTGACTCGAGTAGACATGAGCAACATTGGGTAAATCCAGTAATGTTTCATGGAAAAAAGGCAGCTACGAATTCATAAGAGCAGCTGCAACGTGGGGGTTCTAGGTGGTGCTAGGAACAATTCTGTGGGTGTTGAACGGTGGAGCATGGTTGGTGCGAAACGAAGATGAAGGCATGAAGCACCCATTGCCTAGTCCGGCACCTAGTGCTTGTATTAAAAAAAATTGATGACAACACATATGCAGTCACTTGAGCCACGCTGATGCATCTGAAAAATATTGTATTTTAATTACCTCAAATCTCACTTTTATAAATCAAGCTAAAGCTAAAGGTTAGAGCATTTTATGCCCATTAGCACCCTGCTCATGTGTCTCTTTTTGTTCTTCTACAGCTTGCTATACACTGCGGCTGCTCTAAGTAAGGTATAAGACAATTCAAAATCTAAATTTACCAGAGGGTCAAACAATTGAATTTTTGGTGTAAGACTGGGATTATCAAGCTCAACAAAGAATTGAAAACTACTTGGATCTGGTCTCGGCAGAAATTTGCGGAGCCATGGGATATGAATGGAATAGAAAGGAACATGAAAGACATTTAACCTGAATTGATCGATGGTTGTTTTTTTAGATGATGGAAAATGGTTCCGACTTCAGTCTTCTTTAAAAAGAAGCGTCAGTGCACATAAAAAACAAGAAAACACACCTAACATTAAAATTTATTACAAGGTTCTGAACTAGAGACTAAGGCAATACACAAAAGATCATCCATTAGACGCAAAAAAAAATACATGGCACTTATTTCAAGTAATTTATTTACATGCCTCGCGAATCTGATCTTTGCACATCTGAGCGCTGCAATTGAGCTCAAAACCGAAGCCAGTGCGTCCCCTTAACAGAATCGATGGCAGTTATAGTCGAATAATAATTGAATTCATGCAAATGGATGTAGCTAGGAAGCATTCAGAGAAGACTATTATAGTCGAATAATAATAAAATAAAAATTATTTAAAAACAAAAACATAACGGTTACAAAGGGAGAAAACCCCCCCTCCCCAGTTGG